CAATCTATTATACATCCAACATCTCTCTTCTTGGATAGTCATTTGGACGTTGAAGCAAATGTCCCCCTACATAGTTATGAAAACATTTTTTAGAACACATGTGTAAACGTGCTATACTTTAAAACATGAAAGCATTACAGATCTCACCACCATCTTATAGAATTTTTACTAAAGTTTGAAGGAGACTATTCTATCACACAAGGCATGATCGCTGCCTCACTAATGGACCCGTTGTGCACTTCCATTTGGAGGTACTAGGTTGAGACAACAGTCATCGTTAGATGTTTAATTAAATGACTCAAAATGGATAAAACTTGGACCATCAATCAACTTGGACACAAAATTGGATATGGTGAACTAGAGGATGTTATTTACATCTCCTAATATTCTTTATCAGCAATATGATTGTGCTGATAATATCCCATTATATTTCACCATCACTCTGAACAAAAGATCCAAGATATCTAAAATATGTATATTATTAATGACTTGATCGCCCAAAGTTACAATCCCCTCACTATGTCTATTTCCGCTAAAATTACACTCCATATATTAAGTTTTAGATCTACTCAAATGAAAACCTTTTGACTCTAAAGTTGACCTTCATAATTCAAGTCTAAGGAAAGTACTTCGTACATCCTTTTGCAAATGTCTAGTGAGAACATAAATGACTAAAGCAAAAAATATATGGACTTAAGGCTAATCCTTGATGTAATCCAACCGAATTATAATAGATAGTCAATTTAACCTGACCAAAGAATCGTTATTAATAGTTATTGGTTACTTTCTTCAAAGATGTTAATTTCTATCTCTCTCCCTCTCTCTCTCTCACTCTCCCTCTCTTTCTCTCTCTTACACTTGCTTGGTCTCTTTCTCTCTCTATATCTCTATCCCTCTTTCTAGCTCTCTCTCTCCTCCTCTCTTTTCTCTCTCCCTCTCTCTCTTTTCCCTCTCTCTCACTCTCTCTCTCTCTCACTCTCTCTCTCTCTTGCTCTCTCTTACACTTGCTTCCTCTCTTTCTCTCTCTATATCTCTCTCCCTCTTTATAGCTCTCTCTCTTGCTCTCTCTCTATCTATCTCTCTTTATCTCCTTTGCTCTCTCTCTCTCTCTCTTCTCTCTCTCCCTCTCTCTCTCTCTCTCTCTCTCTCTCTCTCTCTCTCTCTCTCTCTCTCTCTCAATCTCTCTCTTGCTATCTTTCTCTCACCCAAAGTCACAATCAACCCATTAGATCTATTATTACTTAAATTATACTTAATAAATTCAAATTTAGATCTACTCAATCGATTACAAAATTACCTATTGCAAATGTCTAGATTACAACCAAAAGCATATACTAAATTACAAACTCTTGCAAATGTCTAGTGAGAACAAAAAATCATCACAGGAAAAAATTCAAGTTTACCTTCAAATCCTGGTTTTCCTTCAACTCCCACGAACACTAGGGCGACCGGTGTGGGGTTGGCGGTGGTCGGCGGCCGGAGAGAAGTCGCCGGTGATTGTTAGCTAGCTTGATCGAGCGAAGAGCGGGGCGGAGGCGACGGCAGAGCTCATCCGAAGTGAGAGAAGGGAAAATTAGAAATGAGATGGGAGGCTCGGGCTTGTTAACTTTAGGGCTTTTACCAGCGGCCTGCCGGCGGTCCCGACCGCCGGTAATGAGTTCACTTAACAACGGCGGTCTGAGCCGCCGGTACAAGGCCGGTAATGATGATGTCTGGCGGTTCATCCGACGGTTACATGACCGCAGCTATTACCGGCGTCCTAAACTTAAAAAACCTCTGGTTTGGCCGCCGGTAATAGCCGGCGGCAAAACCGCCGTTGTTACCGGCGGCCATATAACCGCCGGTCAAGGCCGCCGGTATTGGGTGTTTTTCCTATAGTGGATTGGCTACGAACTGCTCAACAAAATCTTTGGCTAATTTGACAAATGAGGGGATCATTCCGGATGGAAATGAATAGAACCACGTTCAAGCCTATCCTTTAAGGGTGGCAGGAAAGCCCGACAGAGGAGGGCGTTCCAGGCTCACTGAATATGCATGATGGTTCTATAGTGGTTGATATGTTCATATGGGTCGGATGTCCCATCTTAAGACTCTATGCTGGATACTTTGAATCCAACCGGAATGGGATGCTGAAGTATGGCCTCAGTAAGAGGTGAAGACTCCAAGAAGTCCCTCTGTCGGAGAGTTTGCCTCATATCTCCTCAAGGGAATTCTTCCCGTTCTAATCTCCGCAGTTCATGACGTGGGCTTTGTGAGGGAGCCCAGTAACTTGTGGCTGGGCTGAGTTTTCTGGGAGATCTAGAAGAACGCGAGGTTGTTGACCGGTGTGTGAGGGATGAGTAGAACTTACTGTATCAGCAAGTTCATTGTTCTGATGTATCTGCCTTCTTGGAGAAGGAAGAGGAATCTCTGCTTGAAGATGTTCGAATTGAACATCTTCAACCCGTGGTGGATCTCGAGGGAGAAGAACTTCCTCTCGTTGTGCTAGTGCAAGGTTGCCGAGTCTCTCGTAGGAGTTGAAGGATCTCATTCTGAGATTCTTCCATCTTTCGGATTCTCTCTTCTAAAGAAAGTCCGGAGGTTCCTTCTCCAACGTCATTTTGCCCACCAGGGTAGAAGGAGGCAGATATCGGTTGCCTATGATTTATAAATTGATTTCTATACTGACAAGAGTTGGAGCGAGAAACCCCAACAATACGACTGTTGCGCTTGTTGACCATCGTAATAATACTTGAAGTGGTGGAATAATCCTTCCCACAGATGGCGCCAAACTGTTGCAGACTAGAATATATGTGGCGGTAGAGTTAAAAGAATATTGTCTCAGCGATGTACGGATATCTAGCACACAAACAAAGGAGAAACAATAACACAAGAAATTTTTACATGGAAACCCTGAAAGGGAAAAAACCACAGGACCTAGCCCAGTTAAAATAGTTTCACTAGTGTTTTGTTTGAGATACAAGAGGTTGGCTCGTCCACAAAGTTAGGACGATCAGATTATAATGAATCTTTTCTAAATTGAGATTCAGTTACAAAGTTGAGCAGAGTTTCGACGTCACTAAGGAGATTGGGCGGAATTCAGCTGTTGCCCGAAAGTTGGACTGAATTCCAGTGTCGAGCAGAACTTTGATGTTACTTGGGGAAATTATGGCATCACTCGGGTGTCTGGAAGAATTCCAGCGTCACTCCGGCGTAGGGTAGAACTCCGGCAGTAGTCGAGGAGGAGTTATTCCCTCCTCTCCTTCTCTTCTCTATTATCTTCTTCTTCTCTTCTTCTTGCTTGGGGTCCCCTCTCATGAGAAATGAGGGGTCTATTTATAGATTTTCTGGAATGGCATAGCTCGTAAATAGGTATGAGATCAGGGGCAAATAGGGAGTGGTCGAATGGACGGTTGATATTGAATCCCTTGATCGTGCATAGTTCATTAGACATTCGAAGGTCTTAATGATGTCGGAATTTGGCGATCTTGGGCTCGTTGGATTCGTCTCGTCGAGCCGTTCGATTCGAATATAAGCTCGTTAAAATCGGAGACCGTTTGGTAACTAAAATTGTGGTAACTTCCCAACACATTTTGGGTGCTTGATTTGGGCTCATTTGGACTCGGATTGAGTTGAGTTTGGTGTCATTAGGTTCGTATTTCCGAGACGCTCAGTTTGATTATAAGCTCGCTGAAATCGGAGTTCAGGTGCTCCTGGATTTAATTTTTGAAGTTTGCGACTTGATATTGCCTCGAGATTCGTGCTAGATCAAAATAATTTTTTGAGTATATATATATATAGTTATAAGAAATAGTTTTTCATCATAAAAATTTATTAAAAAGTAAATTAAAAAAAAATAGACAGATAGAGCATGGAGCAGGGATAATTTTCTATAAAAGAAAATTGTAAATTGTGAAAAATTGTCCCATGTAAATTTTAATTTTGACAACTCTATTATTTTGAATCAAAATAAGTGAAAATGAAACTATTCTTTTTTTTAAAAAAAATAGTGTATTTACTATGAATGATGAAATTAGAGTTGTAAATGAGTCAAACTGACTCATGAGTTGTCCTGAGCTCTACTCGATAAGCAGCTCATGAGCCGAACTCAATGAACTAACGAGTCAAATATGAGCTAGTTATATATATATATATATATATATATATATAT